CTCTGCTGCTGAAGCACAAAACAACCACAGATATTTTGTAAATGATGGGTGTGGCCATGTTCCAATAAAACTTTATTTACAAAAGCAGGCCATAAGTTGAATGTGGCCCACAGGCTGTCATTTGCCAATCCCTGACATAGATGTGTCCCCATTTTCATTGCTGTTCTAGCCCTTTCCAATCTTAGCACTTAGAATTGCTTGTAATGTTCAGTGTCTCGTGACTATAAATAATACTCCATGTAATTTGCTTCATTTTTCCTTTGACTATATTCTGGGACAGTAAGTTTGGGGTAAGATGGATGTAGGCTTCCATCCAGGATGCAAGTGTGTGAGCCTGGACAAGTTCCTCTTTGAGTTGCCTGTTTTGTTCTCTATAGTGGGGATGAAAAAATCTGCACAGGATTATCAGAAGAGTTCTGTGTGATCCCTTGTGCCAGAGCCTTGCACAGTGTCTCGCAGATGGAAGGATTTAATATGTCTGTTAGATTGCCTTGGATACTAGGGTCTTAAGAGTTCTGGGGAATAGATAACATGTTTAAGAGAGAGAGAGAGAGAGAAGATGATCCATTGCTCACTATGTGGTAAGCCCTAAAATATAATTGAAAGATGAAAAAAGTGAACAGGACTTTAAAGTCAAACAGGTCCAGTTTTGTCGCTTGTTAGTTATGTGAGCTTAGACAATGCATTTCTCTTTCTATGGTTCACCTTCTGTATTTGTCTCTTTCCCATCTCTGGGACAAAAAGCGTGACACCTGCAGTTTGAAGAAGAGGTTAACTTTAGCTCGTAGTGTGGTGGGTTCAGTCCGTGGTCGGCAGGCTCCGAGGCAGAATCTGCATGACGGAAGGGCAGGCAGAGGAAAGCTGCTCACCGCATGGCAACCAGGAGACAGAAAGACATAGACAGAAGGGATAGCCATGGACAGGAATGCACACTTCCAGGTCATGCCCCCAGGAACTCACCTCTTCCAATCAGGCCCTACCTGAGAACAGTGAGACTTGGGGGACATTTGAGGTTTAAACCATAGCACCTTCTTTCTCTGAAAAGTGCATTAAGTGAATAGAGATGTCCACACGTGCTCAAATATGAGGAAACTGTAGCATGGGTGTGATGAGATCAGGCTGCCCGCCTGCAGGTTCATTATGAGAATTAGAAGGCATGAGGAACCAGAAGGTCAGTCTGTTGTCTTTAGGGTCTTCGTGGGGTACACTGAGCCCAGGGCTGTTTTGAAGCAGCTGCATGCCAGCTGTTGGTTGCTGGCACTGGCCCTGGGGAGGACCTCTCCAAGTGGATTCTCTGGAGTCCATTGCTCAAGCAGCTGTGTTGCCTCCATGGAGCCCAGTCCATGGTGGGGCCAAATGGAGAACTGACCTTTTCTACAGCCTTTTGGCTTTGAGAGTGGAGCCTGGGCTATCCAATAAGCTACGTGCCTGATAGAAGGACCCAAATCCCATAAGAAGCAACACTCAGCTCAGATGAGCTCCATCTGGGGGAACTGCTGCTGACCTTGTTAAATTCATTGTCACCATCACCATGGATAGGGGCCAGAAACAGGAGACTTTAGCTCCTCTGCACGATGTTTCATCTACCCAAGTTCCTTGCAGGGTACATGTGAGCAACCCCACCTTACAGATGAGGAAATTGAGGCTGTGCACAACTAGTAAGTAACAGGATGATGAAGTGAGGACTTGAATTTAAGTATCTGACTCTGGAGCCTACAATCCTAACTGCTGGTCACATGACCTACCAGGCCATGGACGTAAAGCTGCCAGGAGGAGGTAGAAAGGGCCTTGAGGCCTGAAACAACTGGCTCTTCCCATTGGAATCAGGAACTTGGGATTTCTTAGGGCCGGACCTACAGCTACCCTCCTGCCTGTTCATCAGTACTTAAAGCCAGGTGTTTACATCTTCTCAGAAAATATTGCACCCCCTCGGCCACCTAGCATGTTTATCAGGGATCTTGCTTGTGTTGGGCCTTGTGCTAGCTACTGGGAATGACCGTTCACGGAGATAAGTACTGCTAAGCCTTACTGCATGCCAGTGCTATTCTAGGCATTGTTCTTGGATTAGCTCATTTAATTCTCCCAACAGCCCCATAGTAACTATTATTATCTTCTCTTTATAGATGAAGAAAGTACGGTACAGAGAGGTTAAGCAATTTTCTCAAAGTCCCACAGCTAGTAAATATCAGTGCCAGGATTTGAACTCCAGCAGTTTGAGATCAGAGTTCATATGTTCAACTGTCCTTGCACTGTTATGTCTGTTTAAGTCGTGGAACTTAAAATCTTTCTTTTGTTCCCTTTTTCTTATTAGTACATGTCTGTAATACAGAGTAATGATTTTCATTTTGGGGGACTGGTACAAGCATATGACATATCTTGATCATCTTTTAATTCCTTTACCCCCTTCTCTCTTTTCTCCACTCTCCCTCTCATACCCTCTCCCTAGATTCTGTCTTTTAAAATAGGCAGGTTAAACTAATACCAATAGTACTTTAAGTCCATTTTATTTGCTGAGAAGCAACTAGGCAGTGAGGATGTTTATAAAGTACCTGACATCACCCAGGCAGCAGGGAAGAATCAAAGTCATAGATGGGATCTTGGACCGTGGTGGACTGTGGTGTCAAACCGCTGTGTGCCCTCTGGCAAGACTTGTCACCTCTTGAGCTTCCATTCTTTATTTATGAAATGGATCATCAACATCTGTTCTGTCTACCTCCAGATATTTTTGTGGAGGCTAAATGTGATAGCAGGTAGAAATACGACTTCAAAACGGAAAAAAAAATCACTGGGCACTTGTTATTGGACCAAAGTGAAAAATTTGGTATGGGGCTTGCTAGCATGCACAAGGCCCTGGGTTCTATTCCCAGCACCAAAAGGGGTGGGGGAGAAAAGCAGATAGGAAGAGAGGGAGAGGAAAGAAGGAAGGAAGGGATGCAGAGAGGGGATGGAGAGAGGGAGGGAGGAAGGGAAGGAGGAAATTTAGTGTCAGTTCAGTGAATGAACAAATGATTTTACCAGACCTGCAGATTGACTCTGAATGACAAATGGCTCCCTCCAGGCAATTTGTTTGTGTTTTCAAGGTTCCAATAAGACTTCGTATTTTTGTCCATACCCCGTGCCCCTTTAGTTATTTTGCACCTGATTTTGTGTGAACCTCCAAGGCTGATTTAGTGATCATTTATTAATTTCTTTTGGAGACAGGCCTTCTACTCAACTCTGTGGGGAGACAGAGATAAATTTGGAATGGTGTCTGCCCTAAGGGGCTCATGGGCTAGGAAGAGAAATGGTAGAAGTGGTAATAATAACAGCATAAAAATAATGACCACTAATTATGGAGCATTTACCATATGTCAGGTATTATGTTAAGGTTTTGTATATGTTACCTCATTTAATCACTACACTTGTGTGAATTACAAAAACTGCTTTTAGTGTTACATTGGGGAAAAGGATTCAGACAGGTTAAATAACTTCTCCCAAGTTCACACAACTCTGAAGTGATAGAGCTGGGCATGAGTCTGAGAAAAGCCTGTGGACACACATAATTCTGTTGTAAGGTAGTGTCGTGGTTACTTTTCTCTTGTTACTCAGACAAGATACCTGATGCCCAGAATTAAGGAAGGAAAGGCTTATTTAGCTCACAATTTGTAGAGGTTTCAGTCCATACTTGGCTGGTTCCAAGGCAGAGTGGCACATGGCAGAGGGCAACAGTTCATGGTGGAAGACAGCAAAAGCAACAAGAGCAAAAGCAGAGAAAACAAGCCTTTTTCTCTCCCTTATATTGCATGCAAACTACTCACCCCAGGGTTGGTGTAGCACTTACACCCATAATGCCAGCATTGGACCATGAATCAGTCATAAACTCTAGAAGCCTGCCCCATGACTGCATGAGGCTTTGGGGGGACATCCAGACACAAACAGGTAGGAAAGACTGTGTCCTCTCGGAGAGGGGCAGGACAGGAGTCTCTGGGTTAGGGAAGGAAAGGGTGGTGATGATGGCACCATGGTTTGTAGGGACAGTGATGGCACTGATGGGGAGGTGGATGGGAACCACGCTGTCTGTTTGTTAAACTTCTGCTCTGTGCCAGCCCTAACCTGGGGTGCTCTTCCTATTAGCTCATTTAACTCTCATAACAACTTTCCAATGTCAGGATCAACCTCTCTGTTGCACCCCTGAGGATTCAGAGCTTCAGACAGGCAACGACCTGCCCTGGGGCACATACCCTCTCTGACTAGGAGCATCCCAGAGCTGCTCCACACATATCTGTTGAATGAATATTGAATAGATAGATCCCCTGGGGCTTGAAACCTTGATCCCAGGAGACAAAGATTACCTCTTGAATGAGTATATGTGTATCCATTATTTAAATCTATGTCGTGGTGCTGTGATTACTAAAATACAAGTTGATTGCAAAGCACTATGTTCCTTGTAGTTTTGTATTATTTATTTTCTCAGTGTGAAGACACTTTGTGTATGCAGTTACCATCAGGAGGAGTTTTGAGAAACATTTGCACACAAGAGGGGTCCGCGTGGTCTCCCACCCACACTGCACTCTCCAAGTGCTATGCCTGCTGTCTACAGAGTGATCCTGTGGAAAAGGGAAGCCAGGTCCTAGGGCTGCCATGCCTTTCTCGACAAAGTGGAGCTCTCAGTGACTTCTTCTCCATAAGACCTGACACCAACTTCCCAAATGGCTATTGGATGCACTTGTGAATGAATGAGAGGGGGAGAAAAGAAGGAGTGAATTGCTCTGATCAGGAAAGGGAGACTCCCAAGCCAAGCAGGCTGAGAGTGCCTGCGGTCTGCTGAGCAAGCGACTGTGACTTCCACTCTGCGGGTGGAGTGCCGAGGCTGTGGCTGCATGCTGGGGGCCTGGCCCCCACCCTGCAGTCACCGTGCTAGAGAAAGGGCTGTGCACTCCATGTGGGGATGCATTTTTCAAATTCAAATGCAAGTTGACAGATGGTGGTGGATAATATTCTCATTCCTCTCCTTCTCACAGGTCCCCCTCCAGCACAGTCCTTGGAGCGCTTAGGAATCTCTGACACATCTCCCCCGTGATGTTACAGCTGCTGTCTTGACAGGTAAGCTCTTCCCAGTCACCCACTCCATAGGCTCAGCCTGGTGGCCAGTTGGTAGGTGGACATGGCCTCAGCTCAGGCAGGAAAATGGTGTCTTATATGACCCTGAGGCTCTGAGAAGAAGCTACCCTGTGTCCAGTGTCTTGCAGCTGGCACCAATGTCTGGTGCCCAGCATGTACTGCTGGGAGAGCCCTGGAGGGAGGCCAGGGATCTGGCCCCTGACCCCAGATCTCTGCCTCTGCCTCTGCCTCTCTGGAAAGTCTCAAGCAAAAACCTGTCTTTCTGAGGCTTTGTTTCCTTGTCTGTAAAGTGAGGCAGTGGGATTGCACTAAAGTGAGCAGAGCAAGCCCTGCCATTGGCACAGCGGTGATGAGGATGGCACTGCAGTTGCAGGCCTCTTTCCCAGGATTCAGTCTCCTGTTCAGTTACTCCTGGGGCCTCTTACATTGGCAGACAGCACTGGGCCCAGTGTATATGTGCTTGGGCGTGCATTTGTGGGTGGGAGGGAGAGACTTCTATAGTCTCTGCTTGAAGCCATACTCTGACATGCAGCCCTCCATTAGTGTCCATTCCAATGGAGCAGATGTATGTGTGGATAACCACAGTACAGCAAAAGCTGTGAGCCAAGGAAGGGATCTTTTCTGTCTGGGGTTTGGTTGTGGGGTTGAACTGCAGTAAGGGGCGCGGGCAGCAGACCCTCACTGACGTCTCTCGTGCTCATGGCCCCACTGTGCACGGCTGCTCTGGCCACATGACCCTGTGGCTTATCCTTCCTTTTGCCACCCCACCAATCTGCTGTCCTAGGTCCCTGACAGACAATGGGTCGCCCAGAATAGCGACCTTCTAAGGATTCAGCACTGATGTTTCACCTGTCTTAGCCTCTCCTCTCCTCCAGCCTATAGCAAAGTGGCTCCTGCCCCAAAGCAGTTTCTGTATGCTGAAACACTTTGCAGTGGTAGAGTTTTACGGTTCCTTCTCTGAAAAAGACTCAGAACACTGTCACATCATGGTGCCATGGAGTGTAGAAACAGTAGGGTCTGGAGCCAAGGAAAGTTGCCCTGAAGCCCTGCCTGCCCTTCCTGTAAGGAGCAAGGTGCCTGTGAGCCTTCGGGTCTCATTGTGAAACATTTGCCTCCTTAGACAATTCCAGAATCAAACTCAAGAGATCGTGTGCAAGGCCGCCCAGGCCTGGGTGTCCTGCAGTTGACATTTAGGTTCCGTGCTCCTCTAGGCTAGCTCCTGTCCCTGCCATGCAACAGGCTACTGGAAAGATCTGTGAGGCTCTGGGTTGAAAAGGTAGCATGTGTGGTTACCATGTGTGCTGTGCTGGTTTGGGGTTTTTGCAAGGGGAACAATATACAGGACACATATTTGATAAGATTATTTATAACAGTCACCCAAAGAGTCATATACAAGAGTTCAGGAAATCTGTGCACACACTAAAGACCCAAGAATCCAGCTGAGGGCCTGGATCCCACGATAATGTCCTACATGAGTTTATCTGAAGACCTAGAGCCCATAACAATGCCTCCCATGAGTCCAGCTGGAGGCCTAGAGCCCATGACAATGTCTCATGCTGGCCTGTTTCATGGATCTGCGCTAGGAAGGCCAACTGTCAGTGGTGGAATCTAGAAAGTCTATGCCAGCGGGATCTGTGCTAGCAGGCTGAGGGATCTTCACTGGAGCCAGGAAGCCACACTCAAAATAAGAACCAGAGCTCCCCTGAAAAGTACCACAGCCATTTGCAGCAACAGGGAGGTCCTGAGCTCCTCCAATGATCAGGACAGCCGAGTTCCCATCAGGAAAGCCAATGCAGCAAGCTTCTCAGGAGACAGGCAGTGCACCATCTTCCCCTCCTGAGCCAGGAATCGATGCTCAAGTGAGGACCAGCTCACAGGTCCCAGTGAGCTCAAGTGGCTGGTTTGATGCCAATTCAGTGACAACAAGGTCAAACTCCTTGGACAATGGGAATAGCCAAGTTCATCAGGAAAGCCAGCATGACAAGGCCCTCCAAGAGAACCAGCAGCTCCTTTCAGCTTCTTCAACAGCTTCCAACAGGCTCCCAACAACTTCTCTTCTTCTTCTCCAGTTCTACCTCTTATGCTGCTGGCAGCAGTCCTCAGGTGGGCCTCTCACACCCAGCACCATGCTTATGAAGTTCTGCTTGGTGTTACAAGTTGCCCACCAGTTGTCAATCCACCAGATGTGCCTTGACAGGAAGTAAGGCCAGTGAGCTTGACTTTCCTTGGAAATGCTCATTCGGTTGGAACTGCATTCTAGGCACTGGGGAGCCAGACAGCAGAAGGAGTGTCCCTTCCCCATGTAAGCAAAGGAGCAGAGAGGAAGCATGAGACGAAGCAGCTGAGGAAATGTGAGAACCACTCCACAGTGGTTGTGACTGGGGAAACCTTGCCAAGGGCCCAGGGATCGGGGGAGCCTGAGACCTGCAGGGCTGCAGAAAGGGAGCAGAGGCAGGTCAGTCAGGAGGCTGTTTGGCTGTCTGGACTGTGGCTGAGGACACAGGCCAGCTCCAGACTCTGAAGGAGCATGGAGATGGCTTTTGTGCTGGGGCTTGGAGAGAAAGGCATAAAAGTGAGGACTAAGCAGCCGCCAGTACCTGCACTGCATGGCCACTGATGCTCTAACTCAGAGGTGCTTGAAGGGCTATGGGACCACAGAGAAGACAGCAGCCAGTGGGTAAGGGCAGGGTGGACACTGTAAGGAGGGACTGTGGCCCAGATGGTCATATACAGACAATCATAGCTAATGATCATTGTGCATTTATGTCATGCCAGGTACTTTTATAAGAGCTTTATAGGGATTTACAATCTGTCTGCACAAGTCCAATGAGCCAGGTGCTATTATCATCCTCTTTCACCGCTGAGAACCAATGCACAGAGAGGCTACGTGACTGGCCCCAGTACACACAGCTAAGGAGTGGCTTAAACAGGCAGTTGTCCCAGAGTTCATGCTGAAATAACCCTGAGCCTCTCTCTCTAAACACTAGAGGTACCTGCGGGATTGGGGCTAAGTCCGCCTTGCTTTAGCACATAGGGACGCTCAGTAAAATGGACTTCACTAATGAGAGTGCACAGATGCGTGATAAATTGGGCCCTGAAGAGTTGCAGGTAGAAAATGGGGGTGGGGACAGGATTCTCAAGCAGAGGGGGCAGCTGGAACAAAAGGCTCAGGTTAGAGTACCTACCAGGTCTGGCGTGCTGGTGAGCTGAAGGGGCCAGGAGAGGGAGGTTTATGTGGCAGCCCCTCCCTCCAAAAGCTTGGCACCTTCCAGCCTTCCCAAACCAACCTGTCCCACCTCAGGAAAAGGAGCGGGCCCTGCCCTTGGGGCCCTCACATCCTAACTTGTCACCTGTTCCCTCAGAGGCCCCCATGGCCAGATCTGTCCTCAGGACCACAAGACCCAGGTGGGAAAAATGCGCTCCAAGTGGCTCCAGGAAGCCCACCCACCACTCTCCTCAGTAAGGGGCTATAAGGGCCCGAAGGGGCTGCTGTCTGAATGCTCCAGGCTTTAGGAGCAGGGAGGAGGTTTGGTATGGTTTTACTTAGCTTTTCCAAAGACACTTTCTTCTTCACAACTTAGTAGGCTACAGATGGGAAACTAGGGCTGCGATGTAGTTCTGTGGCTTCCCAGCCAGGCATCAGCGGGTAAATCAATTCATATCTCTTCCTTGATTTCTATTTAAATAAAGTGGGTATAAAATAACTGCAGGAATAAATGGGGCAGGGCTAGGGAAACTCCAGTTCAACACCAGGGCCAGTGAAAAGACGTTTCTGGGCTGATTTGCTTGTAGGGCTCAATTTTCTCCATAAAATGAGGGGTTGAAGAACATTGTTCTTTAACACTAGCCAGCCATGTAAATGTGTTTACATACACACATACACTGCATGCCAAAAAGTGCACACAATTTAATTGTTTTGTATATTTAATATAGACACACAATTTCTATCCTCTTTTATTATGTTCATTTTTTGTGGTTTTTTTTTTTTTTTTTTGGTACAGGGAATCGAACTCAGGATCTTCCATTTGCTAGGCAGGTGCTTGTGCCACTGAGCTATATTCCCAGCCCTGAGACAGGTTTTTATTATCCAGTTCAGACTGGCTTGAACTCACTTTGTAGCCCAGGCTGGCCTCAAACATGCAGCAATTCTCCTGCCTCAGTCTCCAGAGTCCTGGGATTACAGGCGTGCGCCACCATGCCTGGCTATTGTGTTCTTTTCTGATTTCAAAAGTAATGCATATTTATTGTGAAAATTTTGAAAAGTACAGGAAAAGGAAAAAAATTCACTGTTTCACATCCATGACTAAGCTATTTAGTGAATCTTTTCCATCCTTTTTCTGTGTATGTACATACACACATTTGAATATGTATCTACAGATATTCCTCATTTAACAACCTACCTGTTTAACAACTTTTCACACTTGCAACCTGAGGCTTGGACTTACCACCCATCTTTTTTCTTTTTGTAGAGTCTGTACATCTTGTTTATACACCCTCAGTGTCTTTTTTTTGTACAGTACACCTTACTTATACAGTACTATAATTTTTGCTGATTGTACTGTACAGCACTGTAGCTTTATTTTCTGTTATACTGCATGTAAGAGATATGCAAATAAAAGCAAAATAATCAAGTTGGAATTTCCTCTGACCACTTCATTGGTCTGAATATTGTAATGTACATACTATATATAATTCCTAATTCAGCAAACAATTCAATTAACGACCTAGTCACAGGAACGGAACTCAGTTGTTAAATGAGGAATATATATACAGTCTGCATTCTATTTTTTAACCTAAGCTGGGTGGAGATGTCTGTCCCTGTGCCCAAGAGGGACCTGGGACGCCAGATGCCAGGCTCCCCCACGCCTACCTGGTCGGCTGCCTAGAGCATCTGACCTTCGGATGTTTTGTGTCTCTGGCGGGTGCACATTTGACACTAATTTTAGCTCAGCCTCTCAATCTCCTTGGTGTTGGGGCCCGTA